CAATGCCGGCTGGCGACCCCTCGGGGGAGAGCCTTTTCTGTAGCTGTTCCAGCTCTGTGGAACGATCTTCCCGCAGAGATCCGGACCCTCCTCACTCTCGCGGCCTTCCAAAAAGCCACCAAAACCTGGCTGTTCCGGCAGGCCTGGGGCTGTTGATCTATAAATTGGGTCCAGCCCCTAGCTAAGCCGAATGTATGTTGTGTTTTTTAAACTGTTTTTCGTTTTTTATCCCCTATTTGTTATTTTTATTTTATCTCATATTTGTAAGTCGCCCAGAGTCCTACGGGATTGGGCGGCATATAAGATCATTAAATTACAAATTACGAATTAATTCTCCCTGGGTCGTTTTTGGAAGAGCCAGATGAAGGGAGGGGGAAATCTTTGGGCCCCCTTTGACAACTGACTTTTGCTGGAAAGCACTTCAGAAGCCAGATCTTAAACGTCACAGCCACTTTAGGTTCAGCAACCAGAGCCCCCCCCCCCCCCCGTCTGAAATAGCACCTGGGCTGTCTGGGGGTGACAAAAACTCCATGGAGCTTTCAATGCATGGAGCCTCCTCAGAGCCCCCGAGACTCCGGGGCCAGTGCTGGTGGAGGAAGAGGCGGAGGACCAGTTGTGGCCAGGAGGCTCACCAAGCTGAGCTCTGCTGCGGGAATGGAGCTTTGAGCTGACTGACGGCATTAACGAGGACAGATTTAGTCCTATGCATCAGGCAGAGCCCAGATGAGCCTCAGGGAATTAGGCAAAATCATTTGAATGTGCAAAGCTGGGACAAGCAACCCGTCGGGACCTCTCTCTCCCCAGCTCAAAGGCAGCTGAGAGGACCTCAAGGCGGGCAATGAAACGGTTCCTCCCTGCCCCCCCCCCCCCCCCCGAGGCTTCTGGCTACCGTTGCACTCAGTCTTCTTGGAAGAACTGTGACTCAGCCCTCCCATGGCTTCACAGTGGGCAAGGTAGGGAGGAGGCCAGTTTCCCTGGTGGTTATCACTAAGGGGACCCAGTGGACAGGTCAGCTGAGGTGTGGCCATAGGTCAATGGCCACATCTTAAGTTAACATGCCCTGGCCAGGATCAGCAGCCCAAATGCTGGTGTGCAGGAGATGGGAGGGCTCTCGCGTGGGGTTCCTGGCTGCTCCCTGTCAGGCTGTGGGTGACACCATCCATGGAGGAGCCTACAAAGGCTGGGGTGGTGGTGGAATCTCGGAGTCTTTTGAGCAGGAGAATGTGGTCAGGACTTGTTAGGAAGATCAAGGCCTGGTTCACTCAGGTTTCAGTTCAAGCTCAGCACTTGTGATCCGAGACTTCATCCAAAGGAGTTAGGATCGGGAGCAGGGCAGCGAGAGGGGCATTCCCAGGAGGGCAGGCTCAGAGCCAGCTAACCTGGGCCACATGGACAGGGCCCCCTGGAGGAGCAGGGGGGTCTGCATCAAGCGGGCCAAGAAGGGGGGGCCATCCCAGGGTCTCTCCAAAGCCTCCCCTCTCCGCGCAGTGTGTATGCTGATGCTGTATCCGGGAATGTGGGGGCAGGGTGTGGCCTGAAAGGGAAGTGGGGGCCTGGAGCAAGGCAGAGGCCATCTCATTGGGGAGCAGGGAATAGCTGAGAGTGGCTGAGAGACTCCCCTCCCCCCATCCCAGTTGCTTCTCCTTGAAGAGCCTCCAGAAGCAGTTGGGGAGGGGAAGGAGGACAGGTGCCGAGGGATTATTATGGGTCAGGGGACAATGGAGGCCGGTGAGGTGCTTTTCACCCTCCTGGCAGCCTTCCCAAGAGAGGTGCAGGTGCTGAATGTCTTGTGCAAGGAGCTGCTTTCAGCCACTCCCAGGGAAGAAGGTGGGGCCATCACAGCCCAGAGCAAGTCCAGGCAGTGATGTGTGGTGAGGTTTATAGCTGGTGAGGCACTGACACAGGGGTTTCAATTTTTTTTAGACTTCTGGATTTCAACTCCCAGAATTCCACAGCCAGGCATGCTCAGTTCTGATTTAAAGCGACAGCGTTTCCCCCCCTTGCAAATTAAGTTTTCCTTCATTCTTTTTCTTCTCCCTCCCTCTCCTTCCTTCCTCTCTCCCTCCTTCCCCCCTCTCTCAAACAGACACACACACACAGAGAAGTTGGATCCCTGTCTCACTCTCTTTCAAACACAAACACAGAAGTTGGATTGGATATATTTTCCAATGACTTGAAAGCAGCACCTCTGCCATACCCCCCCTTCCCCTGCTG